TATATATATATATATATATATATATATAGAGAGAGAGAGAGAGAGAGAAAGGGAGAGAAAAAATAAAGAAAATATAATAGTTATAGATATAGTTATGGATAAGTAATATATATATATTATCTCTATTATCTATAATTTATTTTTTCTACTTAATTCTATAATTTATACTTATACAATTGCAAAGGGACCAACCTGGGATGGCAGAGGGGGAGTTCACACTCACATGACCAATACCAGGATTACCGATCTAGAAATACTGGAACTTCGGTACCCTGTCATTCTGAATAAATTCTCTCTACGTCCCGGAAGTGGAGGCAATGGTGCCCATCGCGGTGGCGATGGTGTTATCCGAGAAATGAAATTTAGGTAATGAATAAGTTCCCTTTTCGTTTTTCAGTAATACCCATAGTGATTTTAATATTTATTCTTGCTGCGATTTCTTCTCATGATGTCATTATAAGACATTTCTCAGCTGTTCGAATAAAATCCCCTGTATTTTTGTTTTCACTATAATCAGTGACAATAGCAACTAGCATAAAGACATATCATGCAAGATATAATACTATTCAACCCTTTGCCATGTCCAGTCGGACTCGTGATGAAAATTTCAATAGAATCTGCTAAAAATCGATATTCCTTTTAAATTGAGATAAAACTTATTCATCACAGGGCTACGGATCTTTATGCAAATTAACAATTTTCCAGGACGATTGTAGCAAATAGAAATGAAATAAAAATAAATTGTTTCTTCTGATAATTTGAATAAGTCGCAAATAGTGTAACAATATTATCAAATTGTTTTTATGTCTTCATAATTTTATATTTCAGTTATTTATTTTTGTGACAAATTTATAAAATCCGCAATCTACCTGTTACACAGCATCACTGATCTTATTGTCTACCAATGTTTATCCGCAAATCTAGCAATCAATGTTTAAGCGTCAAAGTAAATATAAACAGTAAATATAAATTGTCTATTTCCGTCTCTGAAATAATTGAGAACATAAACAAGTTGTTGCAGCTACGATTAAACTAACGCGGCGAGGGGTATGTATTTCTAATGCAACGAATCTTTTCCAAAGGGCGCCGATGACGCTATCGGTGCTGACAGAGAGAAGGGTGCAAAGCCCTCCTGGCTTAGCAGGGGGATTTCCGGGCAAGTCTGGGAGGAACACATTGAGAAGAGCCGACGGTAGAAAGATCAACTTGGGTCCGAAGACTGCGGTGACAGTCTGTCCAGGGGTAAGCAGGACGAATACAATTTTTTTGCAACGACCGTCGACGATTTATCGAAGCGCGGATAATAATATATATACAGAATGTCCCAAAATTATAGTACTTCCGGGAAATTAGAGATTACTGAGGTCATTCGAAGCAACTTTTTCCTTTACAAAAATGTTCTCCGAGGCATCGTTAACGAGTTATTAACGAAAAACACTGACCAATGAGTGGCGAGCTCGGTTGGCACGAAACGGCCCAGCCAACGAGCGCACGAAGCCCACTTCCGCTCATTGGCTCGACCGCCTAGCGCCAGGCGAGCTCGCTCCTCATTGATCATTGTTTTTCCTCAATAATTCGTAAACGATGCCTCGGAAAAGAATTTTGAAAAGGAAAAAGTTACTTCAAATCACCTCAGGAACTCCTCTTGGGTTGAAATTTTGCACAGATGGGGTTTTCTTGGTCAATTATCGAAAGGTATACGGTTCATTACAAAACCTCTAAAGGCAATAATCGGCTAGGCCCTTTACGCGACACTGTAAAATCGTGCGATAAAGTATCAAAAAATAAACTGCGAAACGCAACGATTTGAAGCGGCCGCCGAGAGCGGAAGAAAACCGTTTGCGTTTTACGCGACCGCTCGTAAAGATTTTATCTCGACGATCTACGATCTGCTTGTTTACAACTCGTTCACGCTCCGTACCCGCGCCAACTCGAATTATTCGCGATATTACGGCGCCGTTATCGATGGATCGAGGTCGCGAAGTTTCGCGCTCCACTCGGATATTCTTTACAGAGCGTCCGGCAGAAATAAGAGGCTGCTGGTTACTTTGCAAGTTCTTACACTGAAGAACGAACTCTAAATTGCGTATAAGTCAGAACTATTATTCATCATGTTAACATTCGCTGCCACGCCAAGAAACAAAACAGGTCTTAAATTTAAAGCGGTTTGTTCGTTCGAATTACAATTGAAATGTTCGGTCGTATGGCATTAATTACTTTTTGAAGATCTTAATAAAATCAAAGAGGTATAATAATATAATATTATATTTTTTTTATTATATTATAATATATTATATTTTTTTATTATATTATAATAATCAGCTTAAAAATTAATTTTCAGTTCTGAACAATGGTTCAAGAATTTTCTAAAACTAGGACAAAATAGATAGGGCGTATGCATGTTAGAATGGATACACACAGTATGTTCTGTATATTGGTTTTCTCTACTATATTTGCCAAATAATTACAAATTTGAAATTTCTTTAACTTCTAACTTTTTCGCCTCGAAGCGTGTACCTAATTTTTGGACGTTCTCGCGGAATTTCACCTTTCAGTTTCTCTATTTAATTATTTAACGGACCGAATATACCCTTAGAATATAAAACTATAAATACATATAACGAAATATGAATTGATTCTCACTAAAACTACCTAAAATTCTGAAGTTTAGCCGTTGATTGCTGAAGTCGCTATACAAATTGAATATGTTGCAATATTGATTTGCATTAGCGATGATCCTATTGATGCAATTTTGATGACCGTATAGGGTACGATGAAATTCCTGTGCAATACAGTTTGTTATTTGAGGAAACAGTGTTATAGCGTTTGTTACAGTATGAAAATATTTTACGTCCTTTATATCCATACATATTTGCCGCAGTTATTCTATGAACTATTCAACGGTGTTATTCTATAAGACGATTTCTGTTCGCAGGACACGTTTATTCTGGAAAGTCCTGGCGGGGGAGGTTATGGTTTACCTGGTGCAGAAACTTCATTAATAAAAGAAAACAATGAAGAATTCATCGAAAGAGGAAGCGTGTTTGAGTATCGGAAAGCTCAAGAGTCTGTTTAGCTTTTATGTTTTATTATACTATGCGGGTATTTCACTATCAGGATGAATGAAAACAAAATATTATAGAAACTTGTAACGTTTTAAGCTTTGTCAATGAAACGTTATGTCAAGGGTATGAAAAACGTCTACACTTACAAACAGATTTATATTTATTTTAGTCTTACTTCAGTAAATAGAAAATTAACGTTTAGCCTTGACCTTCACACACACATATATTGTTACACACACACACACACACACACACACACACACACACACACACACACACACACACACACACACACACACACACACACACACACACACACACACACACACACACACACACACACACACACACACACACACACACACACACACACACACACACACACACACACACACACACACACACACACACACACACACACACACACACACACACACACACACACACACACACACACACACACACACACACACACACACACACACACACACACACACACACACACACACACACACACACACACACACACACACACACACACACACACACACACACACACACACACACACACACACACACACACACACACACACACACACACACACACACACACACACACACACACACACACACACACACACACACACACACACACACACACACACACACACACACACACACACACACACACACACACACACACACACACACACACACACACACACAGGGACATCCTAAATACCACCTTGGGGGTTTTAGATTATTATTGATTAAAAAGTTGTTAATGGGTAAAACTGTGCAATTAAAGAACTAATCTTTTACCTACACCTCTATCCACTGTCGCATTGCAAAAGTATGATAGGAAAATAAAACAAGACTGTTTCATCGATACACATCGCAACTATAGAAGATAAGCGATAAACATATAGTATTAACATCGAAGGAAAGTATTCGAATATAAACTCCAAAGAAGAGCGATATTTGGAGGCTTGAATCATCCTTTATTTCCGATAATTTCAAATGAAATTCAACGAAGCTGTAAACTTTGTATCTGTCTAGTTCTTTTAATAAATACTGGTTACGATTTTTTAACAGCGTACCCGTCACATTTCCCCTATCTTCCGGAGCACACGGCGGCCATTTCCGACCTCTCCAACGTATTTCACGATGCCTTAATAAATCGATGCTCCATTTGAATCAAATTTACCAAAACTGACATCAATTTACCTGGAAGGTTCATTCGGCAAGGACTCGTGATGGCATCCGTTCCATTTCCGATCGCAGTAATTGCTGACCGAAATATCGTCATTCCATGCACACGTACAGCTCGAAACTTCCGATTGCATTCGTATTCGCGATGCAGTTCGAAACGTTTCTTAGATTCAAATATCGTGTCTACCGCCTGAATTTCTATTCGTCGCTTAATTCACATTTATTTCCTCTATTGGTGGTTGCTTTGGCCGGAAATGGGTGCGAAATAGTTTCTGTGTCCACTAATTGGCAATCGATAGTCTATAAACGCATGACTAGAAAGCCTTGCGCGTTAGGAAGCTAACTTCACGTTGATAAATGAAATTGTACGAAACGCGGACACTGTTCTTTTTGTTCGAAATTGTTTCGCTGCGGTTCAACGTTGAAAAGAAATCAAGGGAACTGAAACAATAACGCAGAGAGTAGATATTAAAATTGCATCGCATCGTGCAAAACATAAATTACCCTATTTTACTATTTCATTTCTTGTTCAAATAATTTTTGCACGATTAAAGTTTATAGCAGCTACACCACGGAGAATGCACCAGCAGAATAAGAATAATTAAAAACGATGGAACACGACGTAAAACGATCTATATTTTATGCAAGCCGGAGCGAATTACATTGCCGGCCAAAAATATGAGATCAGAATTTATGATTTATGGAAGAGAAGATAATACTATATTATAACGATATAATAAAACTCGTAGTGTCGGTAGTTACGTGAATTATTTCTGTTCTATCTTGATGCACGGGATTCATTAAATTTATGCGAGGCAATAATTTCCATCTCCGCTAATTGACAGATTTGACCTCGTGCTTTTGCAAAGCTCGTTCTTGTGAGTAAAGTTTCGAAGAGAGTTAACGGAACGTTTGCACTACGCGTATTCGAATGATAGTGTAAAGGTGCCTAATATATGAGAACAATTTTCGTTTTAAATCATATTAATAGATTAAAAACACTTTCATTGAAAATAGATGCATGTTTAAAAACTAAAATATCAATTCTTCTTCAATCTACTGGAAAAATACAGGGTAAAAATTCCGTTTCTTCGTGATAGAGGAAAAACTGAAAGCAGGAAAATTCAAAGATTTGAAAAATAGATTAAAAATACTTTTATTCAAAGTAGACACACGTTTAAAAACTAAAATATCCATTCTTTTTCAATCTACCGGAAAAATACAGGGTAAAAATTCCGTTTCTTCGTGATAGTGGAAAAACTGAAAGCAGGAAAATTCAGAGATTTGAAAAATAAATTAAAAATACTTTTATTGAAAGTAGACACACGTTTAAAAACTAAAATATCCAATCTTTTTCAATCTACCGGAAAAATACAGGGTAAAAATTCCATTTCTTCGTGATAGAGGAAAAACTGAAAGCAGGAAAATTTAGAGATTTGAAAAATGAGTTCTTGTACGACTGAAGAGTAAAGGTCTGTGCAAAACATGCATTCTGTGTAATAATTTGTTTGTAAGGATAACAGTGTAAAAGGAACAGGATGCTCCAGCTACTTTAAATAAAACAAACCTGAACCTGAACCTGTAATAATTTTCTTTATAATCACTTTCATTGTATAGAATAATTTCTTCTTCGTCATTTGTTCAACTATTATTCTGTACTATTCTGAACTATTATTCTGAACTATTCTGAACTATTATTCTGAACTATTCTGAACTATTATTCTGAACTATTCTTGAACTATAGGTTCTTTTGGAATTGTTTTACTGTACATTTACCAGTCCGAAGATATTTGTAATTACGGTAATGTCTCTCTAATTGAGCTCAGATTGTCAAAAAAAAATGGACAATTTAGGAAGATAAGATACAATTATTCGATCTTTGCGGTTCATTTTTATAGTTACGAATTGTCGACAACTATAAAAACGAGGAGCAAGGCTCGAATAATCGTGTCTTTTATTCTCGAATTGTCCATTTTTGTGCACAATCTGTGCGCCAGTTAGGGAGACATTGCTGTATAATCGAACTCCTCCTATAATGGAAATAAACGGGGGCAACTCGACCATGATGTTCCCGATCGAGAATACATAGAATTGCTTAATTCTATTTCTAAAAACCGAAGAAAACCGCTACTTCTCACCGAGAAGATGAAATCACCCGTTCGAGGATGGCAAAGTTAGATGACTCGGGCTGTACAGTTATGGTTTATAATTCCGTAAATTTCTACGCGAGGGAAACTTCTTCTGTGGTTCGTTTCCTCGACAAAGAGGAGCACCGGGATCTAAGGAACTTCCGTGTCGTCGCATTAAAATGCAACGCGCTGGCCGACGTGTTAAGGTTCGTTCACAATTAGCTTGTCTGAAAGAGGCGCCCGATCCCGACGGTTGTACGTGATGGTCCGTAAAGGACCAGGAGACGGGGTGCAGGGTAACGACGCGTTCGCTCGTAGAACGTGCAGCTTCCTTTGATTCCGTGAAAAAAATAGCAATGACGGCGCACAAGGGACCCTGATTGAAAGCGTCGGACGCGCCGATGCGGGACGGGACGAGCTTTTGTTTTCGCAGTCGCACGTGGCGCAACGAAGACGTTAACTTTAACAAATTATTTTCACCGTTCACACTCGTTTAACGAGCAACGACGCCTAATCGTTGAACTTCTTCAGCGAACCCCGCAGCCCCTGGTCCGGTTAATTAAGACGGTCTACGTTTGCTTTCGCGCTCCCGACGACGCTCCGCTCAAACAAATTCTTCCGAAGTTCGTTAGAACTTGTAAAATATGCTCCAGGCATCTCGTTACATAGCAACGCGTTTATAGACCGTAAAAAGAAGTTTATTATCGATCATAATGTCGAGAAGGCTCCCCGCGAAAGAGGCTACTAAATTATCGCAGCCGAGAATTTTCTTTCCCGTCGCTCTAACGGAAGTCAATCCGGCACACGTGCGACGAAAGTCTATATCCGCGAAGTCATCGAAACTCGAACAGAAGAACCGACGCGAACAGCCTCTTAAGTTATTAATCGCTTCTTTATCGATATTCCTTTCGATGCCGAGGAAACGCCGTTCAACCGACGGCAGAATAATTTGACGTGGTTCGCTTTGTCTGTGTTCAAATATTCGTTCGCGCTAATAATTCACGTTCAACCACTTGATAAAACGTTTCTGTACTCGAACGGGAGATTCGAATCGTAAGAACGTATACGTTTCAATGGACGGCGTTTTCTGTTAATGAGAATATAGACGTGAAAAGTAAATGTGCCTTAAACGAAACGATAAATAATTGTTGGATTACTTTAGCCCTCAATTTACTGTTTACAGATTCATCGATACGTGTATTTATATGTAACATTGTGTAAAATACGATTTAATACGATTCAAAACTGCCACGTTCCAACTGTTTCCATATCGGGGATGTTAAACGTAAGTTCAGAGGACAAGTAGTCACGTCATGATCGGAAAGCGATAAAGTTTCGACGAAAATCTTACGAATGCTTCAGCTCCGGCGCAAACGGAAGCAGAAAAGTTACATGAGAAACGACTACAGTTTGCGAAGTTTCGTTCTCGGCCGTACAAACTTATATCCTCCTTATGGATACGCGTGCGGGCCCTGTCCGCCGGCAAAAGTGATCTTCGATTCTCTGGAAATCTTGCTGCCGTTGTAAGAAAATTTCGCGCGAACAATATGCACTTGGCCATTCTAATAATTCCCGTCGATTCGCGATGTAACGCTCCAGCGATTGATACAGTAATGTCTCTCTAATTGACGCTCAGATTGTCCACAAAAATGGACAATTTAGGAAGAGGAGATACATTAAGGAGATTCGAGCATTGCGGATCATTTTTATAGTCACGAATTGTCAACAACTATAAAAACGAGTCAAAAGGCTCGAATAATCGTATCTCCTCTTCCCAAATTGTCCATTTTTGTGCAGAATCTGAGCGTCAGTTAGGGAGACATTACTGTATTCAGATAGTGCAGAAAGATGGACAATTTGGGAAGAAGAGATACGATTATTCGAGTCTTGTGCCTCGTTTTTATAGTCGTTGGGAATCGGTAATTTATAAAAACAAGGCGCAAGACCCAAATTAATCGTATCTCCTCTTCTCAAATCGTCCATTCTTCTCCACAATCTGAGCGTCAGTTAGGGAGGCATTACTGTACTTTGAAAAAGTATGAAATAATGCAGAATTTTGAAACTATTGGAAGAAGAAATGATCTCCAATGAATGCGGAAAACACCTATTTCGCATAATGATCCAGCTCGTTCATTTCAAAAAAATGCATCCCAAACTTGCAGACCTGGTAGACAAATTTATACAGTTTAAAACCTGAAGACCCTTTTCGGAAAAATGATATCTTGCTGAAGGTAAAATGCTGAGCTCGCAAGTTAGTTTCCCCAAACATTTGCACGACGAATTCTAGGGTCGCCGTGACTGCCAGCGTCGGGCCACCTGTGTTTGCCTTGATCGGCCGAACTGCCGAAAATTCCGGCGATCCATCAACATCTCCGCGCGATCTTCGCGTTTTCCGTGATCAGCGAGCCGGCTGTGCAAACGACAATTAGCCGGCGTTCGAGCATCGGCGATATATCATCGTTTGCGCGACAACGATTCCCAAACAATTCGCCTATATAATCACGGCCATCGGCTCGCCGATCACAAAGATCGAGCATCGACGACCGAACGCGAACGCGGTGATCACGATGAGAATATTTTCGATATCTGTCGCGGTTCTGTTGGCTGCGTTTCCATCCGTTTTCTGCGGGGAGACGAGCAGCGATCCCGTTGACGGAAATTCTGAGCATCTGAATCCGAATCAAGGGAACCCGGCTCTCTATGGCCGAGTAATTACGCTGGCGGAGCCAGCTACCAGCGACGCCTTTGACAAAGTTCTGCGACTCCTTCGGCAGACCTTCGACCAGGTGAGTGCTCCGACGCGACAATGCTCACTAATTACTTCTCCTTTTCCGTTTTTAAGCCGTGTTCCCTTAAAAACGAACGTTCGCCCGGGAACCGGCGACCGAGACGCCTCGTGCTCCTCCTTTTTCCGCGACTCCGACTTTTTAGCCGTCTCGCAGCCCGGCCCGCGCGATGATAATTTTGCAAATTGTTCCGCGAGAATATTTTAACCATTCAACGAAGTTTTCTAAAACGCTGAACTAGCAGGACGCGACCGCCCTCGGAGGTTTTAATGGAATTTTGTAAGTCCGGAACATAGTTTCTGCCGTATCATTTTCGCGTAACTCAAATACGAACGTCATGTCACGTTAAAACGGGATTAACAATTGAATAATGAGTGAATTTCGAAAAAGATTCTCTTACGTCTTAAACTGTAATCTGTATGTGTCAAAATTGTGAAAAAAGAAACGAGTGAAATCAATTATCGAGTTACTATGGATTAACTCGGCTCTGAATTATATCTTAACAATAAATTTGGTCGGTAAACGATACACACATTAGTGAACAATAACACTTCTGTTTCTTGTAATGAGGCAAATGAGACTTACACCACTATTGTTTTGATTATGTTTCTCCCACATTCGTTTCGGCTAGCATGTGCCACGTTCTTTGACCATTCGAAATTTATATTTGTTTGAATGTAATTTTTCGAGAAATTAAACCGGGTATAACTTTCGTATGCAAATACGAAATACTTGAAACAAATAATTAGGAAGACAATGCAGTCCAAGAATTGAAAAATGAAAAACCATCGAATTCTATTCGATGTTTTTCACATAACCGTTTTATTAGTCCATTTGTATTTCAACTTACACGATAATGACAAACTAATTGCATAAACTGCATGGTGCGCGGTAATTACAGAATTAAAGAACGTAAAAAGGGTAGCTGCCTCGAGCTTAAAACTTTACGGTTCCAGCGATACTAACTAAAAACGGCTGCGCGTTTAGCGTGTACCGCGCTATCAAGATTTCAAGTTTACGAGTCGCGGCGACTAGGATTTTGTAGAACAATATATTCCGCAGCCGTAAAACCCGTTAATCAGGTAAATAAAATCAGCCGGAAGTAACATAACCGTTCCATGAACCGCATAATCCCTGGTCTATGAGACGGTGGTTGCAACATTTTTTTAAGCATCCTATGAAACCGGTAATACACACAGATAATCGCGTGCAGGCTTCCTGCGAGCAGAATGTAACCCGCTTTTACGGCAGCCGATTGTCTAAAAATTCAGTGTACACTAAAAACCGTGTAAAATGTAACGAAATGCAGATTCTCCCCGAATGAATCCAGAGAGATCTCTGTTTACACGAAGCTCGGCCGCGGAGAGACCGTGCGCGGGCCCGCTTTAACGAGGGAAAATGACTTTTCCAGGGATCGGGAAAAATCTCCGAGGATCTCGACGCTTGGGTCTCGAAGTTGAATAATTTTGCGAGCCGGGTATCCGGCGTTCCCGAGCCCGAGGGAAAAAATGAAGGGACCGAGGAGGCGTCTGAGTCGCATAAATTGAGCCGACGATCGGTGACGCCGCTCGAAACGCAGGAGAACAACGATACACGCGCGCCCGAATCTCGATTCTCCAAACAAGCCTCCAATTCAAACAGCAAACTTACCGAGAACCCCCGAGACGAATCTGCAGCCGTGTTGTCGCCGGCGATTCCCGACGACAATCAACATCCCGGCTTCGATTCGTGGATACAGGAAGTCAACGCACTCGCGGCGAGCATTGATCGCGGATCATCGGAACCGAGTTTCCCGGCACATCTGGAAAGAAGGCTGGAGGAGTTATTGGACAGAATCCAATCTCGTTACGACAACAATCATCTGGTTGGTACATGATATCTTTTCTATACGGCAGAGCGGATTACGTAAGCGGGTTCGCACTTATGCGATGTCTACGGTTCGCACCGGCGATCGGGGCAGTTATCCAACGTTTCGATAAGTTCGAATTTATAACATGCATCGTAGAACTCGTTTCGAACACGTTGTTCCATTTATATGTCTTGATAGAGATATATCTATGTCACCGACTATAATATAGTCATAGACTATAATATCTATGTCACCGATCCTTGTCTTCCATTCGAGGCCATTTAAAGATCATAGCGTCAGAGGTCATTGAATTCGTCTCGATGTGCACCTCGAGTCTTGACGCATTATTTTCAAAAATAACGAGGATATTTCAATGTGCAGGATAAAATAAGGATCCTGTGTAACAATCGCTTTTACTAAATATTCTGTCGTAACGAAAGCCCTAACTGATTCCGTGGTCTCCCAAATGTGAAAAGACTGAGCGATCTTCGATTTCTAAAATTGTTTTCGACAGCTAAATCTGTTGCCCATTGTACGCCTGGAGAACATCGGTCTTCCAGGCCAGCCGATTAGAAGGATTTTGCATCCGATATTCGAGCGATTGGCAGCTCGAACCAAGCCTACCGAGACGGAGCGGCAGCCAGGCCTCCGGCTGGCCAGGAAATTGTTCGCCGATGGGAGAAGCTTACTGAGCACCTTCCAGGAAAATAGAGAGACAGGTGGAGCTGGAATCCACAAGGCGGTGAAGCTGGGCCCGCTGTCCGTAAACTTCGACGTGGGAAGATCTTGATCCCGTCCAAGTTCCGCGAAACCGTAACACGGCTATGAAACATACCTATAATACCCCCTTTGTGTTTGACGCCGGCTGACCTCGGCGCTCGGCGAGTTTGTTTCATCGAAATAAATGTATTGGCAAACTGGAAGCTCTGTAACGGCGCGGCGTTCTTTTCTTTTTTTCTCGTCTTAATTCCCGAGAATAAGTAAACTGTCGGGCGAATCGACGAGCCCGACGCGCGCAGGTACGAGAAACAAAAAGATAACGAAACAAAAAGGACCGTTGAACCGTAGCGACCCGCCGCGGGCTTAAACTATCTCGCGGAACAGAGACAGTTCCGAAATAAAACCACGAGGACTCCAGAGATGTTTTCCCCGGGGATGAATCGAATCGATCGCCGGGTAAAGGAATCGCCCGGTTATTACACGGCTCGTCACTCGGCAGCGCCGATTCGCCGACAGCCGGGAATGTCGCGGAAATAAAAGCACCCGCGGATCGATGGATACGTAGGACGTAGGACCATCGCGGGATAGAGCGGTTCGTTAACGCTTATCACGATTAACGATGGGGTCCCGCGGCAAATCGCACCCAATCGTGCAACTAAACAATGGCTCGGCCACCGGCACGGATTTAAAAACATCCGTTGTTAATTAACCGGATGGTTTAACAGCCCCGATTAACTATGACCCGATACGCCGGTGCATATTTGCCGAATAAACTCGGGGCGCATTAATTTCACCGAATGCCCGCAAAACTTCGAACGCCAAACAATTTATTATGGTCCGCCGAATTCTTAACCCGGGTTTTGAATTCAATTAACCGGCGCCAATTAATCAGGCTGAGTTATTGTACGCGCGTTAATTTATGCCGCCGGTCCCATTATTAAATAACACGTGTTCCCGACCAGCGCCGGGACCGCGGGGCTCTTCGATCCTGTAGTTTTTCTGGAGTTCGCGGATATTCTACGGTAATAACGTGAAAGGTTGGCCAATGAATTCGTTTACAGCCGGGTCTCCGTCGTGGGAATATCGACTTCCGTACCAGCAATTTTACGCAGAGGTGTACCGACTGTAAATTGGTCGAACGTGAACAGTCCTTGCACACGTTGCACGCGAGTTTAAGAACTAGCTTCTCTCTCTCTCTCTCTCTCTCTCGAACAGCGCAAATGGTTAATCATCCGATAATTCCAGCAGGTAATTCTTCCGTGAAATCTACTTTACGTTCTACTAAATTGAAAAGACTACGAATCGTAAAATGTGCAGACAAAAGGCGTCGATAAAATTTCGAAGCGAGGACGAGGCACGCCGATCGAATGGCGTATGCAGTGGCTGAACGAAATTTTCGGAGCGCTAGGGGTTAATAAATCAAATGATTATTTTTATTAAATCAAACGAATTTGACGTTCTTTAGCCGAGATACAAAATCGTGATCGATACGAATGTGTTAATTTCTTTCACAATTACCGAAGACATTGGTCATTAAAGTTAAGCGCATCTCAATGTTCGAATATTTTTGCGAGTCGCTGCATGCTCGTTCCTCGTCGCGCGGGATTATTTTCCATGGATTACTCGGATCCGGTGCTTCCGGTCGTCCATGGCTGGCTCTGCAACCCCGTCGAACGGAGCTGGAAAGTCTAGTTCCCCGATCATATTGTCCCCTCGAGTGGAACATTGCCGCGGCGCTCTCGAATTACTCTGATCCTCGGAGCCGAGGGGGAAAAAATCAAGACGCGAAAGATACTACGGCTCGTAAAAGCCGAATCACCGACCCCGATTCTTCCCTCGCGAATCGATGCCAGCCGCAGCCAACGGGAATCACTTAATTCCCGAGGACCGCGTAATCGTCGATACTTTTACGCGACGGATTTTATAGGCCGATTCTTGAAACAACAACCCCGCGGCGTTCTGCGGTTCCACGCACGCAGGGAACGAGGAAAGGACCTTTGACCGTCGCGTAAGAGGAGCTGCGCCCGCACAAACGTGCTCCGTGCGTGCTCGCAATGCTCGAGATTTAGTGAGACCGCAGCTGGACCTTGCGCAATTCGTTTCTTAAGGAAAATGTGGCTCGCACGAGGGTAGCATACGCTCTGGACGCCTCTGGAAATCTGCAAGCCGCCGTCTCCGCGAAAATGATAAAACATGCGGTTGCATTCCCGCAATATTAAGTATCAGAAGGGTGCATCGCTGGTTAAAGGCGTCGAGTCTGTACGTCAGAGAAGTCGGCAGTCTTTTGGTCACGGGACAATGGAATTATTAGGTGTGCAAGTTAATTCGCGCACAACATTCTTTCACACTCATCGATTGACATTTAACCCTCGCAAAGTCGGTGACTGTGTCAATTAGATCCAGATTATTTAAATTGTTCACTTAATTACAGAATTTTCAGCAATTAAATAAAATAAATTACTGTTATATTAGGGACTACAGAGTAGCTAATAAGCCTGCAAGAAATGTCTTTGAAAATATATTTTGAAAAGTTGCTGAATAGAAATGGTCCGCCGTCCGAGGATTAAAGCAAGTTCGCAAGAAAACCGTCTCACGCGGTTACAGAAGCTCAAGCTCGAATTTCGACACCTTTTCGGTACTTTCGCAGAAAAGTTTATATCGTACTTGAGGTATTCACTAATTTCCGTTTTATATTTGAAAGTAACAAATTGTCTTTCTAACCGAAAAACTGACGGGTTTGAAAATATCGTAACTTGTTCATTTTCAATCTTTTTTATTTTCTCTTTCTGCAGGTTACAGAGCACCCCTAGGAGATGAAAATGGCTGCCTGTGATGTCCAACAACGAGTAAATTTCATTGAGCTCTTCTATTCCAGTGAAAAATCTATTATTAAAACTCGGAGAAAATAGCTGAAGCCATTTTCAGGTGGTCATCATTAAAAAATTACGGTCATTCGAGGGATGTTGTTTTCTATACTTAATACTGAAAAATATCCACATATTTCCAAATAAGATAATAAAAAATTAAAACGATACCCTGTAACATACGGGAACAGAAAATCGATTTTTTAATTTTTACCCTGTGAAACGTGCAGAACAATGTAATACCGCCCTGACAATTTCGGAAGGGCCCCAGGCGATCATTCCACAACCCCGTAATCAATAAACATTGCCAAATAAGAAAACCACGAAACACTCTGCGTCGTAAACCACTTAAAGTACGAGATCGTTTCCGAACCAAAGCGCTATACCATAGTTTTCCCGAAAAAAGACCGCATAAAAATCACTCCATCGGCGTCTGCGAAACACGAGCGACAGGACATATAAATTAACGCGAATCCCTATAAAGGAAAATAAATGTTTCGCATCCCTTGCGAAGCGATCCCCGGAACGTTGAACCCGGGCGCGCTCGGAGCACCCCGGAAAAACCGAGCTTCTCTTTGCCAGTGCACCGACGTCCGACCCCGTAAACGTCGAAAAGTTCGACGGTGCAGCTGGACGCGGCCATTTCGTCGCGGGAGCTTGCGAAAATCTCGTCGGGTAGGAGACGAATGGCTGGCCTTCCGTCGCGAGCTGGCGTGACACTCGTCTGCGGCGCGGCGGCCTGAGCATCCACTAAATTGCATGCGCGTTCCGACGGACGTGTACGAATTATGTGGCGAAAGTAGCACGCGGGGATTGCTCGGTCGAAAGGAAAAATGGAGGGTAGGTCGGGGTCTAGAAAAATAACGGCGGCCGGAATTGTGCGAGGTCGCGCAAGCTGGGACGCCGCCGGCGCGGAAGAAACTGTTCGCGCGGCGGAGGGACGCGAGCGTTCGGGTAGCCGTTTGGACGAATAGAAGCGGAAACTCGCGTAGCACGGCGAACGATAAAGGGGTGGTCACCCTCTGCCAGTGGCACGTTACCAACGGAACCGCTGGCATAAATCGTATTCGTCCCTGTTCCACGGTTACCGTGTAACCTGCCTCCCCGCGATTGTATGCGCCCTGCCGGCTGATTTTCCAGAGCGAATGCTCGCGCGTCGAACACACGCGCGCACCATCAACGCTTGTCTTGGTCCGATCCGCCGCATAAATCGCGGTCCACCGCTCCTGTTCCGCGCTAACCCCTACAAGAATAATTTCCTGACTCCTCGCTTTTACGCCCCCCGGGCCTCTATTTACCTCTCGTCGACGTATTTCAGTGTTTAGCACGTTCTCGCCGATATCGAACACGAGAAGTCTCCGGAGCACGGTTATCCGATCTTGGCCCTTCCGAATCGTAAATAGAGCCGTGCTGACCAGAAACCGTCGCGCAATCGCCTTTCGTTTGTGCCGTGCTTTTGGGGAGAGCTCTGCTCGATTGTATCCTTGAAATTCGCGCAGCCCTTTGCAATTCCATGATCCTCGGCATTGCGGCCCTCCGAAGTCCCACGAGTATTTGTATTGCGGCGACACTGCCTGGACGGAACCCCACGGGACTCATTCAACATCTCCACCTATCTACTCGATCCGTCAATGATCCATATACAGTAACGTCTTCCTAACTGAAGAGGAGGTACGATTCTTTGAATCTCGCGGCTTATTTTTATATTTGTCGATCGTCAACAATTATAAAAACGAAGGGCAAGGCTCGAATAATCGTATCTTTTCTTGCCAAATTGTCCATTTTTGTGGACAATCTGAGCGTCGGTTAGGAAGACATTATTGTACTCGGTGTTTCGCTTGAACTTTTGCACTCCGTTACTTCGCGAACTATTCGTAATTATAACGCGAAACTCGTTACACACTCTCTCTCTGTTACAAAGAAATGGGAAACAGAATAAAGTTCGTAGTTGACGGTTCACACGTTCGCGGACAATAAACATTTTAATGAGCTGCCGAAATAGAGCTGCACGTTTTAGCCGAGTGTTCAGTATATCACATTTTAATAATTGTATACAACGAATGCTGTAGCATCCACGTCGATGCGGATCCAATTAAAGTGCATGATAATTTCAAGAAATAAACGTTGCGTAGAATTGGACGCACGATATTGTAGCTTATGAATTCGAATTTGATAGTATTCACGTTATTCTGCGTCACAATGAAAACGAATGCTGCAGCATTCGCGTCAGCTAATTTATTAATCAATAACAGAAAGAGACGTTTAGTCCAGTAGTTTTAAAAGTTATTGCTATTTCAACCCTCGGACGGCGTACCATTTTCAAAACTGTGCTATTGACGATGTTTATAACAATTCTGAGCTTTATTCAGCAATTTTTTAAAATATATTTTTGGTGGCATTTCGGTGGCAACAGCAATTTATTTTATTTTATTGCCGAAAATTTCGTAATTAATTGCATGATTTAAATAGCTAGCATCAAAATTGACACAGCCACCGTATTGCCAGGATGATAAAGTGTACGAATACTTTTGTTCTCCATTTATATACTATATTTGAAATTAATCGATCGGAAACATACCACGACGTCGACTGTTAGCAGTCGATTAGCAGATGATTAACCACATCACAAGGCACCCTCATTACGCGTTAGGCAAGTTCAATATTTAATACCTGACGTTGACCCATTCTTCGATGAAATTTGCTACGACCGAGAATACAGCGTTAATCGTTGGAACAGTGTCTAAAAAAAAAAATGCCAGTAAAACCGATCACAGAGCACCTAAATCGATCGAAGCGTCGTACAGTGGGATATTTGTCCCGAAACAGCCTAAACTCAAGTATTTCTATCCAATACACTTTCATCGAATACTATTAGTATAGCTGATGCCTCGCTAACGAGAAATATCTCCAACTTTCCGATTAGCAGCTATTAGCAACCAATTTCTTTCGGAAGATAGTCTTAACCTCTTAGGCACGGCTGAATCAACGCGAATTACGTGTAAGTGAATGAAGTGTTTGATGATTATTTTGATTAATTAGCGCGTCGTTCAGAGAGGTGGCATCCGCGAAAGCCACTATAGTGGCGCATCGTACAGAGAGATGACATCCGCGAAAGCCACTATAGTGGCGCATAGTGCCCAAGAGGTTAAAAAATGACGTTCTTCCATTCTTTCGGAGCGAATACAGTAAAAAAACTGAACAATTTGGGAAGAGGAGATACGATTATTCGAGCCTTGCGGCACATTTTTATAGTTGTTGACAATCGGTCAGAAGGCTCGAACAATTGTCAATTAGAGAGACATTACTGTACACTGTGCGTCGCTGACTGTAGAGTAGCTGCAGACCTCTACTTCGCGTTTTAGGATTACATCACGAAGAAACATGAAGTTCAACGGGACCCGTTGGAAGTTTCTACCCAAGAAAGCAAGCTGCAGATCAGACGAGAAGCGAGAAAGTTGCGAGTAAAGCGAGAGTTTTCTATTTCACCGGTTTAAAATCCGTACGTCAACGCTTCGAGCATTAAACAAGGGAACGAGGTTGCTTTCAAACTTGCACGGTCGCAGCCCTTTGGAGGATTCCATTTCACTTTGGACGAAACAGGAAGAGTTTTCGCTGTAATGGATGTGTCTAGCGACTAACGAGACGCCGGAAGATGAATTTTAAACAGAGTTACACCCCCGGAAACTCCGCGGAGTGGTTTTGATCGACGAGCAACGTCGCGAGCCGTTCCTACGGACTCGATCCGAGACGGTCTTTCCTTATTCTAATTTTTCTTCGCGACGAGGGGTGAACCTTTTTAGGGCGTTCCGGTGTTTGCTCAATATTAGAATGGTCCTAGCATAATGACGTAAGGGCGGGGGCGGCCAAGGGGGTGGCTGAACAAGAAGAAGAAGAAGAAGCAGAAGAAGCAGAGGCGAAACGTGTTTGCCGGTCCTGCGGGGCATTGTCTCGTAATGGTATGCGAAACTCTTTAGAAGTTCTTCTGGATTTGGGTCGCGCGACGAAACAGGCGTTGCGCGCTTTAAAGTCAACCGACTCGCGAAACCTTTTCTCGATTGCGCCGGTCTTTTATGCGCTGGAATCGAACCGTGAATCGTCATCTCTCCATCGGGCTCGAGACATTCGAGACATTCGTGCCAATACGGAACTCGCAATCATTCCTTTGACTTTCGTCGCGGATGAAACAGATTTCGCACGAAGGATTTAGGAAATCTTGAACATGCTGTTTGCGTTCGTGCCGATTGGAGAAACCCTTTCGAGCAACGTCTGCCGTGTACGTTTCTAATAGTAAGATTCTAGACGCTTCAAAATTTTAATGGCGAAAAGTTCTGTCTGATAATGTCATTGCAAATTTCGATAGGTACGCACATGTTCATTTGGGACATATATTTTTGAAAAATGTTGCTCACAAATTGCCACCACGCTGGCAAGAGGTCACAAGTAACGACGTAAATTATATTGTACAATATAGATATTACCAAATTTATGAAAAATCTATTATTTCCTTTCATTTCTTAAACGGACAGAACTTTCCGGTAGACCTAATAATTTATGAACAGCGAAAGCTGAACGCGCGAAGTTTGGGAAATTTTAACTTGGACGTACTATTTATTCCGATGCTTCCAATGTTACGTAATTTCCTAGTTGCACTGCATATTTTGTATGTATACTGCAACTATACTTGTAAAGAAAATGTACACGACGGGAAATCGATGGTCAAAGCGAACCTGTACGCAAAAATGGACAATTTGGAAAGCGGCGGTACGATTATTCGAGCCTTGCGGCTCGTTCTTATAGTTACAGATAATTATAATAATATAATTACCTATAAAATCGAGCCGCAGGGCTCGAATAATCGTATCTCTTCTTCTAAAATTGTCTATTTCTGTGCACAATCCGAGGGTCAATTGGAAGGAATTTACTGTATATCCAATCATAAAAGCGAACATTAACACGTTCCGTGCCGAGCTTTTTTTACTCGAATCTTCACACTTTGATATTTTACTAAAACTTGATGTATTACGTGCAATTATTAATTTTCGTACACATAACAACGTAACAAAAACTTATCAACGCCCATTCTTGCGGTGGAAATTGATTCTTCGGTTCTAAATTTCTTGTAAACAATTTGTTCAGTTCGCTAAGTAAACATGCAAGCGTGTACCATCGATGGTACACGTGGCACGGAACGTGTTAAGAAACTAAGAAATGCATATTTCACGAACAGCAGTAAAATGGTACAAATCCATCAAAATTCGCACGCATCGTACTTCAGCGCGAACGAAGTCGCCGATATCGATTTGAAAGCACAGCTTTCGCGTGACAATTTCCTGCAAGGTTAATTAAGTCTCCGGTCTGGCCGCAATGTCGCGGCTGTCCTCGATGATTAAAACGTCAAGAAGCATGTTTAATCGCGCATCAAGGCCGGGCGGCGGGGTCGCGCACGACAAGTTGAAGAAGATCGCTTTCAACTTGGCCGGATGGAACCAATACGGGTTGTATACGGACGACGTGCTGTCCGAGCACTATCCGATAGTGAGGGAGGTTCTTCGCCGACTGCCGAAGGACGTGCAGGATGCGCGAACTTTTCGGTATTTCCGCGGGGATATGTTTCGTTGTCGGTCGTCCCGGAATTTGTTGACGAATTTCCGCGTGAATATACCGCCGTTGAGAACGTGGCGCTACGACCGGGAACGCGCCGCGGAAGCGTGTGTAATCGACCAGAGCGATAGGAATGTACGAAATTTCCAGAATGATACGGGCGGCGCAATTGGATTTCCTGAAAACGCGGTTACCCAAGGACGAATGGATCACGTTCGAGCAGGACCGGGAGTACCGATACCTGAAGCCTTATCTGAAGGAAATCTACGAGGAGATATACGAGATTTACGAGTTCGGCTGCGTTAATTATAGCGAGAACGACTGGCCGGCGGAGTAACTAAAAAAAAAACGGAAGCCGGGATCCGCGCGCCACCCCCGCGTCGCTTTGAAATATGCATGAGGCGAAACAAGAAGAGCCGAATGCTTAAAGAACGCTGAATAACCATGCGCGATTCGACGAGATTCCCGTGGACCAGATGCGTTCGCAACGATACAGGGGGAAAATGAATTCCGGTTTGCGCAAACAATGCTAACTAGATGGCGATGCTGGAGAAATGCAACGCGGATTGTAGGCTTGTATTATGATATCATTTGCGGTGCTGCCTGGGTAATGTCGGACGATGAACATGTAAGCGAGATTCGATATCGATGAATTCGGAACGCTGCGATGAACAGAGATGTTACGGTTAATGCTTGATTCGACTAATTTTTCAATGTTATATTGATTCGATTATATATACAGGCAGCCGTGGACACCTTTTAGAACGAATAACTTCTTTCAAATTGAACTAAACCGGGTGAATTTTGTTGAGACGTTCTTCTAACATCTAGTCCTTTCTTAACATTCTAGTCTTCCCGACCAGTTTGTTAGAAAATGTGTAAAAACAATTCTGCAAATATCCAAAAGATATTATAATAATATATAATAAGTCACGTGTATATAAAATCAAATTTCAATGTAACAATCAAGAAATTCAAATATATTTATCACCTTCGAAACTGGAATCCTCTTCTTAACCCTTTGAAACGAAACGAGACGACCTGTAACAAAAATACGTGTACTCTATGCTAAAATTATATTTAATTGTAATCTTTTCTACAGAGGTTGAAAATAAATGCATAAGCCATTTAAAAGAAGAACAATGTGCAGTAGCTTACAACTACATATACGTTCGCGAAAATGGACAAGGTCATTCAATTTCACGTGAATAATTAAAAACAGTACTTTGTTAATCACATGTATTTAAAATGTTGCTTCGACGTGTCGAACGCAGTCGCATAGAAAATTTCATGAAAGCCGATGAAATTAATTTTCGTTTACACGTATGAACGCACTTGAGTGATATTGTATATGCCAGATGGGGATTGCAAAAGTTCGTCCTGGTCATTAAAACAAAATCAAATTAATTTAATTAGCGAAACTAAAAGTGAAAAGTTAAAAATTACCATATCTCGTGGATGGTGTTATAGCTCTTTGAATTCTGAATATACTGGAAATAGTGAATTTTGAAAAGTGGTCGACTATTAGTGTCACGTGATACAAAAAATTCTCCACGATTTTCCTTCAGCTTGTAAACAAGGATAGATAATTTAGGAAGAGTAGATGCGATTATTCGAGCCCTGCACCTCGTTTTTATAATCATCGACGATCGGCAATTATAAAAATGAGCCGTGAGATTCGAATAATCGTATCTCCACTTCCCAAATTGTCCATTTTCGTCTACAAGCTGAAGGAAAGTGAAGGAAAAATTACTGTAATTGGCGACCTCCGCAGCAGTGTTGAAATTCCATTTAACACCGAAGAGAAAGTGCAGTAACCTAGATAAGTGTCAACGTTCAGCGACAGAGTCCGAAGAAACTCCTTTTAACTTGTCGCCTTTTCCGATTTAAGCTCGCATGATCTCGAAGGAAGGGGACTGTATATATTCGTGTGTGGAGCAAAAGAAGCCGAAACTCGAACGACCGCCGCGGTTTCAATTCTTAACGGTAACTTCGTTACGCGACGGCCTTAATTATGGGCCGTGTATTCAAGTAGCCGCCTGCGAGCATGCGGCAAGGATGTCACTCGAGATTTGAAAGTTGCTTCTTCGAGTGCATCGCGGTGTGGCCGGTAGCTTCAAGGAGCTCTTCAAAGTCTATCCCAACCTAGACAAATTTCCCTCGGTTCGCAGACGTTCAAACCTGCGCCACGCCCGCAGCCGTACTTTTATCTTTATGGCCATTTCGGCGCGGTTCAGCATCGTTGCGGACGAAACAGAATATTTCCGCGACCTCGGAGAACTCCGCTTAATTAACGGCGATCAAATTATCGGTCTCCACGATTTCCGCTCGCCAATATTTCTTTTTACATCCAAGCCGCAAGAGTTCTACAGCGTCGCTAGTTCGTATTGTTCTTATTTGGACATTGAGCGATTGTTGGTAACTGTTTTTTACGCTACAGTCGACGCAGAAAGTATTCGCGTACCTTTCAAAACGGAATAATCTTTTTGCGATTAGGCCAACAAGTGGTTTTTTACGATTAATTTACTGGACAATGGTTGAGAAATTGGTTTTAAAAATCGTCAATTGGTTGGCACGATGAAACAATGAAAAGATTATGTTTTTTCTACTTTTTTGTCTGAACGCACAACGACAATTCAAGAGCAGCATTTTGTAGATCTCGGTAACTCGTATACATGCTGAAAATTTCATTGAAATTGGTTGACGTGTAATCAAGTTACTGCCACTGAACGATGTAATTACCACGTTTTGATTGAAATTTCTGAAAAACTGCTGTTTCTGCGAACTTTAAAGTTAATAGCTCATAACAATGCTCACCGATATCAATGAAATTTCCCGCGCGTGTACAGATTGTCGACATCCATTTATTAAATTTTTGTTATAGGTTCAGATAGGAAAAAGTTGAGAAAACGTCATTTTTTAATTCGCTCACCGTGCCAACCAATTGCAATTTTTGGGAACAACTTTTCAGCCATTGTCTAGTGAACTAATCCCTCTAAGAACTCGAAAAAAGAAAATTTAGATCGCTTGGCCTAATCATAAAAAAGTTAATTCCGTTTTAAATTTCCGTGTTGTGTACTTTCAACGCCGACTAAATGTGTTGGTTTAGTAGTTGAGGATTTTATAGAAAAATGAAATGTTCTATTTTGTAGTTTATCGTTTAATTTTGTTCCCTGTTTGACGCTGTTCATTATTACGTGTTTATAAATATTAAAATATCTAGTTATACGTGTGATTAATACCGTTATTACCACTATCATTGCTATTACTATTTTAATTGAAATTATTATGATTATTATTAACGTTGTCATCATGATTTTTGCTAGTGTCGCTGTTACTATCTTCTCTGTATATTCTGCTTCATTTACATCTAGTAGCACTGGAAAGTTCATTTACTAAATTGAATTCTTCAATTTGTTAGAAACAAGATAATTCGTGAGCACGAAATGCGAAGGATTTCGCAGCTGAATGTTACATTCCCGCGGTTCATTAATTAATTCCTCTCGGCATAAGGAAGAAAATGAAACCAATCATATAATTAGTATTTTGAATTTCATAATTACAGGCGTGTCCTTTCCCGTACGAGCAAACGGAATCTTAACGAAATTCAATATAATGGCGAATGATTAAACTGCGCATCTAAATGTTAATTTTCATTACCATTAATTGCTTTTAAAATATCAAAACAGGAAGGAAAACATTCGCCGATTAAAAATTGCGATGCACACGAGAAATTCAATAACAATCGTTACCAGATTAAAATATGCACCAAACAAGAAATGAATATTTATTATTATTATGAATAATTATTCCCGATGAAACGCGACATCTTCTGCTCGATCATTTATTGTAATTCTCCGCAAGCTAATTTTTAGTAGCAACTACATTTTCACTGGTCTAGGCTCGGGGTCCTTTAAACGACCGTCGCTTCGCACTAAAATTCTCGGACCGCGGGAATCCTATAAAAATAATTTAGTGCCGGTTCCATCGGGAATGCGGCGAGTCAAAAATCAAATGCCCCGACCTGGAAAACGCAATTTTTCGTCGGCAAATTGCCCGAAAAAGAGCGGTCACTCACCGTTCCCCGCGAGAGCATAAAAACGCGTATATTTTCAGGCGACTTGTTTTAATAGGTTTTACTCTCCTGTCGCGTGCGTCGCCCTTTATTTTTCTCACGGCCAGCCAGTTAACGGTTGGCCGCGCTACCAGCAACAGGAGATGAAACGACCGAAGTTGATCGTCGGAAGTCGGCCTCGATGCCTCGCGAACTCCTCGCAGAATATTTCACCGGCGAAGAGAGCCGCGGAACGCGGAACAGGGCGTGAATAACGGCCGGCGCCGGTCGACACCTTAATCGCAGGGAATTTCAATTAGCGGGTTGCGTCCCACGTCACGGCAAAAAGTTCTGCGGGCACCCGGAATGAAATGGCGACGGTGCCACTCGGACCGAACGAATTATCAAGGACATTGCTGGCCAGTCCGAAAATGGGATTACGTTAATTCCGGGAATAAATAAACTGTCGACGAGACGTGGCTCAGGACGAAAATTCAAGCATGTACGACACGATCAGGTCGCTAAACTCGATCCGCTCGAAGCACGGTCTCGATCGAGTCCGAGCCAGAGTTGGGCAAAATATTATTCGGGCGACGGACAGAAAATAAAGACTATCGAATAAATATTTTAATCGAATGAAAATTTATCTAGACAACTATATTTATCCGAACAAAAATTCTATTCGAATAAGAATTTATTCGTAGAGGAATTCGTACGGACAAATAATTGATTCGAATCGAAATGATAGAATATAAAGTGTTTTTTCATGATTTATCGAGGCATTTCTACCATATTACTTTGTCGAATTATTTGAATAATTGTGTATGATAGTAAGTTATTTGAATAATTGAAATTAGATTATTCGACTGCAAGATATTCATTCGCATGATTATCATTCAGACCTGACCCAGACAGGTCGAGTCTCCGACTAGAACTTCTGGACTTTCTGGAACTTCTGGACTTTCTGGAACTTCTGGACTTTCTGAAACTTCTGGAATTTCTAGAACTTCTGGACTTCCTGAAACTTCTGGAATTTCTGGAACTTCTGGACTTTCTGAAACTTCTGGAATTTCTGGAACTTCTAAAATTTCTGGAACTTCTGGAACTTCTGAAACTTCTGGACTTTCTGGAACTTCTGGACTTTCTGAAGCTTTTGGAATTTCTGGAACTTCTGAACTTTCTGAAACTTCTGGAATTTCTGGAGCTTCTGGAACTTCTGGACTTCCTGAAACTTCTGAAACCGACTAGACTTCTTATCTATAAAATGATAAAAACATGCAATC